TGGAGGCTGCCGGCGCCCGCGGAGCCAAGAGGTCCCCGGCCCCCGCTCCAGCCACCCGGGGGAAGGAATGTCGCTCACCCGGTTCAGGCCGTTGCTTTCCACCGCCCCCACTCCATCCCACACAGGTGGGGTTCGGGGGGAGAGAAGGACAAGCGCGAATAGCCGTCCCTGAGAGCGGGGTGGGTGTGGACGAAGCTGGTTCGTTTCAGGACAACCTCGGAGTCTGTGTAGCAGCACAATTTGCGCCGTTCGGCCGCTCTTTCTGCGATTGCCAAGAATGCGCCGCATTCCCCTTTCCCGAGGGAGGGAAAGCCTGTTTTTGTCCTCAGGATTGGTGGAGGGAAAAAACCCAACCCCCCTCCTCTCCTCGCGCATACGCGCCTCCCAGTTCGTCTGGACTAGAATCCAGCAATGTCTCGGACTTGTTGAAGCTTTCCTAAAGGGCTTCGCAGCGCCCAATGCTGGGAGGAGGCAGAGCGGGGGGCTGCTGCTTCTCAAGAGGCAACGCTTAGGACGGCTTTCCTCGACAAAAGCTACCTCCGCTGGGGTGGCTTTAGCAGATATTCCAGTGTGTTCCTAGTCTATCCAGGTCCGCATTCCCTCCCTTAGCAAGCCTTAACTTGATGCATTTGGGCTTTAGCTGGCCTTTAAAGATAGACTGTCCCTGAACAAGGAGGCGTTATTCAGCCAGGATGGCTAATAGCGATTTCGTTTTATTTTTTTCTTTTTCTTTTTCTTTTTAAATCTGTATAAATCTTATTAAATCTTCTCCAATGTTTGTTTTGATTTTTTTTTTAAGCCTAGTAGCATCTTCGTTCCCCCTTATCCTTGAAAATCACCAAACTTTTGAGATTAGGAGGTGCAAAGGGGATACCACGAGAGTCATCTTTTATGAACCCACAGTGGATGTACGAAAAAAGCTTGTGGCAACTAATGATAACCAGATTTTCGCACTAACCCCTTCTTTGCGTCTTTGGGGTCAGTCTGGCGAACCAGCCGGAGTTTTGAAATTAATGGTATTAAATCTTCATAGTAATAAGGGGGTTTTTCTTATTCGACAGATTTTGAATAAGACATTTATTTTAATTAATTTATTAATTAATTAATTTGTTTATTTATTTGTAATTATTGCTAAATGATTGCATTTAAGATTTGGGTATGAGAAAGTGGCTTGAAGGAAGAAGTTGAAAAACGGTCCTAGAAGATTTTATTGTAGCAGAGCCATGTCCTGCTAAAGCGTGTAGAAATACAATCTTTTGATGTAGACCTACTGGCTTTTTTCTAGGACTTTCAGAAACAAATTATATGATTAAAAAATAATAATAACTTACATGCACAGAGGAAGTGGGAATCTAACAGTCTTCCTACATTTCCTTACAATGACAGGAAATGAGGTCAGAAATTAACTGTCCCCTGAACTGAAAACCATTGGGGATCAGATTTTCCATTCTGAGAATCTGTATAAGCCAAGCTTTCAAATCTTACAAGAAAGTCAGCAGATAGACATCATTAGCCAACCAATGCCACCATTTGGAAAAGATTTAGCCTACACCATATACTGCTTGAGTCTGGACCCACTTCAGTTAATAGATAACTTATATAGAAATAGTGAACTTCATAGAATTAAAAATGGTGGCTGCTACAAAGGTAAAGACACCAGTGAGCCCATCTCAGCTCCTGGTGAATGCATTCGTGCAGTTTTATTGCCAATTACAGAAATTGCTTGCCACTGCCTTCTTCCAAGACACTTTTCAACTTCCCAGGCTAACCTACATCCCTGGGGTATCCTGGTGGTCTCCCATCCAATTACTAACCAGGATCAACCCTGTTTAGTTTCCAGATTAACCAGTTTACAGGCACCTACTGAAATGAATAGACATGTATCAGGTAAAGCAGATGGTCAGGCAATTCTCTGATAACCTATCATATACGGAAGGAATCATTTGCATTGTGTATTAGATATGATTTCATACCTTGGTTCATTCGATCAGCAATGTAGTACATGCTGCAGTGTTTTAATTGCAGCCAAATACCTTCCTCTAGTAACTTGTTTAATGCCTGCCAGACAAGATAATAGTCTAAGGGCAGCCAAATTCCAGATCAGAAGTGAATGGAGTTCTGGTGCATACATGTATAATTATGTCCTGGAATCTACATAGATATTTACATAGTTTCGTTGTAATGCTGCAAGGTAACACACTGATCTAAGAGCAACCTTTATTAAACATTTTATGCTAACTTCTGGAAATTATGTACATATCCATATTTAGAAATAAATTCCGTTGGCATCCCTGGCACTTACTTCTGAGTAAAGCATTGTCAACATTAATGTCTAGCATTTATAATAATTTTTACATTTTTCTCCGTATTGGAGAAAAGCTCAAAGAATTGTAGATAACATTTACAAAGGCATTTCATCCACCGTGATCCTAAACACACTCCCAGAAAATACCATTCCAGGATTATTTAGGATACTAACCTGAAAAGGGGAAACCACTGACTTTGTGTTTCAGTCAGAGATTCCCACGAGATTTTGGTAGGAAAGTCTAGCCCAGCAGGTCTCCTCCCCTTCCCCAAATCAAAATTATTGCTCTGGAGGAAGAACATAGGAAGAATAAATCTTGCCAATTTGGGAGAAGGTCTAAGAGATCGAGGTTTCCACGGAGCAATTAATTAAGCGACGCGCACGCACACACATACATGCATATACACTCAAGCACGCACGCGCGCTTTCTTGTTCCCTCTCTCACACACGCACATGCTCATGCACACACCCCAATCATAATATTGTAACCCAGCACGTTTCCTTGGCCATTCCGTTCTCCCCCGCTACGAAGGACGGCAGCCTGCCTTAAATCTAAGAGTCCCAGTGGACCACTCGAGGCAGGGCAGGCAGGTGAAAGAACCCGGCGTCGGCCCCTCTGCGGTTGCCATTCTTCCAACCTGCCTTCCCAAGGTCAGCGGCAGTTGCCCTCCCCCGTCGCCAGATGTGGCGAAGTTGCCTTGGACGGGAGACTAAGCTCGCGAGCCCTAGCCGGGACAGCT